GAATTTTTCATAACTTTAAAAAAGTAGTCTTATTGTGTAATATGGTTAGCTTAAAATCTTGTAGACTTTAAAGTTTTACATGACCTGTCACACATCTTACATGTGTAACCATTTCATTTCAGGGTATTCAGCATATATTGTGGTTTTCTCTTAAATTTATTTGCTTATGTAATCAATAATTTGAGAATACTCAAATTAGGAAATGTAAGAGAGAATAGGCAAGAAAATCAGGGTTAAAAAATGTTTTTACTACAAAGGGGTTAATCTATTATTTAATATATAAGTACATTCAGTCTATACATTTCATTTGGGTATGAAATAAACTTACATTTGAGCATTTTAAGACAATTGTAAATATTACTTTAATCTGTTTTTTTTTTTAAAAATGACGAGATTCACTGTCAGCATGTTATTTCCTATAAAATAAAAAGAAAACAAACAATTTTATTTGAGTCAGTTTTTCTTTAAATGTAAATAAGAAGCATTGGAAGTTGGGAATATTTCACAAAGTTGATTGAATATAATACTCACTAGGACAGTTGGAGTATTATGATTTTACCCTAAAGGACACCAGTTTAAATTTCAATATACAAATCATGATTAGTCATGGAGTATAAAGTTTACACTTGCCAAAAAGTAAATGGTATCTCTATTCAGGGTCAATCCAAAGGAATGAAAACAATGTTTCTTTCTATGTATCAAATTTGAAGGATTTCTTGCAATAATTTCACTGTGTTCCTGTTCTGTTTTCTTTCTATGTATGGATAACCCTAACCTGTTCAATCAGAATACAAGAAGTAAATAAATTATGTCAAATGAAGAAGGTGCACAGCAGAAATTTACATGAATTGAACAGAGAATTCTGAGTTTCCCTCAAATATGGCACCAAGTGATGTAAATTTAAAAGAAAATGTGGATCCATCTTATGATTGAGACTAGTACATATTATGAATGATGGGCATTATGACATTTAGAATGACATTACATTGATTCAATTATATGGACAGCTCTTAATCCATACAGTCAAAATGGAGGAAATATTTTTCTTTATAGGCATAAAGTAAGAAACACTCAACCAATTCATCAGAATTTTACTCTTTAAAGAAAAGGAGCCTTACTTGCTTTGTTGAGTTGACATTCCTATTTTGTCTTTGGTAGGTACACTGATGGTTTCCTTGACTATAATGGGAACTTTTTATTTAAAAGTCCTCAGATTGTCCTGATATTTTGGTTAAAATAACTGCATGACATCAAATAATTTGTTCATACAAAGAAATAAAAGATTTTCCAGGTTTCTTCTTTTTTTGGGTCAAATTAAAAATAGTGTCCAACTAATATATCCAACATATAATACAAGATAATCATCCAAGTTACACAAAGGTAAATAAATGACCTTTTTAAGGTTTTAGTCAAAAGATCAAAGTGAGAAGGATATTTAATAGTTTGGTTAATATTCATCAAACTCCATGGATAGATTAATTAAACAAGCTTCATAAATTTTGATTTTCAGGTAAAAGATTAGCACAATTTTTTTGCTATACCATTGTTGTCCATGAATATCTAATCAACACTGTTGATTTTTCAGGTTAAGGGTCAATGTGTTCCTACTACAGTAAAACTTCATTAATATAAGGATATCAGGGTGATTCGTTTATTTGTTAGAAATTAGTTATAAAATCTCCCACTCTTTTCTATAATATATCAGTGAATGTGTGCTCCTTAATTTTAAAGAATTTTACAAGCAAATCATATACTGACTTTCAATCCTTCAAAACACAATATAAATTGAATCTTGATATTAATACTTTTTAGGCTTTCAGACTTATAGGATTTAAAGGCAAAAACTTTCAGACTTTTAATCTTTAAAAACATTTAATCATGCAATGATTTTTATCAAAACTATATATTATTGGATTTTAATACCACATTCAAAATTTCCAACTTTGTTCAAATTGAGGTGCAATTTTTAAAAAACATGAAAGAATCTTTGATCCCTACATATCCACATTAAATTTGTGAAATTTTTTGTAGTATGACTATAATGTGTAATTAATCTTGATTTATTAAAAAGAAAATTTGAAAGTTAAATAAAAACAAAACTTAAGAAATATTAACCTTATAAATTTGATATACTTTTATGATTTTTTTAAACCTTTAAAATTCATGTATCCTGGACAAAAGGGTTCAACCCCCTTCCCTCTCCCTTGGATGTTGGGTTTGGCTAACTTAGCACCATCCTTTTTTTTTTTATCAAGATTAATTACACATTATAGTCATACTACATAAAATTTCATGAGTTATCAAGAAAAGGGATCTTCAAATGATCCTCAATTTAATGTGGATATGTAGTTTTAAAATATTGCTACTTGGAAATTTATGGATCCTTTGCCTTTAATATCCCTTATAACAAAGATTCTTTAAAATTGCGTGAGGAATTTCATGTTTTTTAAAGTTACGATAAAAGTGTTTCTTAGGTTATTTTACGGATGATAGCTAATGCTGAATAAATGTATTGATATCTAGGGATATTCAAGAGTGTATGGTGTTGAAACTTTAAATATATATTGGTCAGGCAGTTTGTCTTTGAATTCAGTTGGAAATTTTGATCATCACAAATTATATTTGACAGTATTAAAATCCAATAATTTTAGACAAACATTAAGAAGATTACACAAACACCGTACTTTCACAATTTGGTTTTACAAATATGAAAATTTTGAATAACTAAAGACTGATCTTAATTACATAAAGACAAGACTTACTAGATAAATAATCAGTCCTCATGATTAAATGTTTTTAAAGATTAAAAGTCTGAAAGTTTTTAAGATTGAAATCCTATAAGTCTGAAAGCCTAAAAAGTATTAATATCAAGATTCAATTTATATTGTGTTTTGAAGGATTGAAAGTCAGTATATGATTTGCTTGTAAAATTCTTTAAAATTAAGGAGCACATTCACTGATATATTATAGAAAAGAGTGGGAGATTTTATAACTAATTTCTAACAAATAAACGAATCACCCTGATATCCTTATATTAATGAAGTTTTACTGTAGTAGGAACACATTGACCCTTAACCTGAAAAATCAATAGAGTTGTTTAGATATTCATGGACAACAATGGTATAGCAAAAATTGTGCTAATCTTTTACCTGAAAATCAAAATTTATGAAGCTTGTTTAATTAATCTATCCATGGAGTTTGATGAATATTAACCAAACTATTAAATATCCTTCTCACTTTGATCTTTTGACTAAAACCTTAAAAAGGTCATTTATTTACCTTTGTGTAACTTGGATGATTATCTTGTATTATATGTTGGATATATTAGTTGGACACTATTTTTAATTTGACCCAAAAAAAAGAAGAAACCTGGAAAATCTTTTATTTCTTTGTATGAACAAATTATTTGATGTCATGCAGTTATTTTAACCAAAATATCAGGACAATCTGAGGACTTTTAAATAAAAAGTTCCCATTATAGTCAAGGAAACCATCAGTGTACCTACCAAAGACAAAATAGGAATGTCAACTCAACAAAGCAAGTAAGGCTCCTTTTCTTTAAAGAGTAAAATTCTGATGAATTGGGTGAGTGTTTCTTACTTTATGCCTATAAAGAAAAATATTTCCTCCATTTTGACTGTATGGATTAAGAGCTGTCCATATAATTGAATCAATGTAATGTCATTCTAAATGTCATAATGCCCATCATTCATAATATGTACTAGTCTCAATCATAAGATGGATCCACATTTTCTTTTAAATTTACATCACTTGGTGCCATATTTGAGGGAAACTCAGAATTCTCTGTTCAATTCATGTAAATTTCTGCTGTGCACCTTCTTCATTTGACATAATTTATTTACTTCTTGTATTCTGATTGAACAGGTTAGGGTTATCCATACATAGAAAGAAAACAGAACAGGAACACAGTGAAATTATTGCAAGAAATCCTTCAAATTTGATACATAGAAAGAAACATTGTTTTCATTCCTTTGGATTGACCCTGAATAGAGATACCATTTACTTTTTGGCAAGTGTAAACTTTATACTCCATGACTAATCATGATTTGTATATTGAAATTTAAACTGGTGTCCTTTAGGGTAAAATCATAATACTCCAACTGTCCTAGTGAGTATTATATTCAATCAACTTTGTGAAATATTCCCAACTTCCAATGCTTCTTATTTACATTTAAAGAAAAACTGACTCAAATAAAATTGTTTGTTTTCTTTTTATTTTATAGGAAATAACATGCTGACAGTGAATCTCGTCATTTTTTTCATAAAAACAGATTAAAGTAATATTTACAATTGTCTTAAAATGCTCAAATGTAAGTTTATTTCATACCCAAATGAAATGTATAGACTGAATGTACTTATATATTAAATAATAGATTAACCCCTTTGTAGTAAAAACATTTTTTAACCCTGATTTTCTTGCCTATTCTCTCTTACATTTCCTAATTTGAGTATTCTCAAATTATTGATTACATAAGCAAATAAATTTAAGAGAAAACCACAATATATGCTGAATACCCTGAAATGAAATGGTTACACATGTAAGATGTGTGACAGGTCATGTAAAACTTTAAAGTCTACAAGATTTTAAGCTAACCATATTACACAATAAGACTACTTTTTTAAAGTTATGAAAAATTCTCCACAAAAAGTTATTTATGCAAAAGATAAATGTTAGAGTATACTTTTTAAAATATATTTTACATGAATCAATCAAAGAACATAACAAATCATTTCTTTGTGGCTGTTTTTCTTTGGAACATCTGTGAACCAACTGTTTTGTCTTTTTGATACAAAAGCGTCCAAAAATCATTTGGAATAGTTATGTACTGTTAAAGCCTGATGCTCAGTTAAAACAGTAGAGATCATTTTAAGAGTTTCTGGTGTGTGTCCTATTTAGGAATTATTACAATGTAACAAAGATGAAACTCATAATTTGATTTAATCAGAAATGATAAAGTCATCAGGTTTCCGCATCATCAGGTTTCCGCATGCTTTGCTGACACATCATGTACATTTACTACTCTACTGGTATGTCTTTAGTAGGAAAAAGGGAAATCAACAGAACTTAGCATTCCATATAAACAAAAATGAAACCTTTGATGAAAAATTCTCTCCTAAATATAAAATGTAGATGAACTTCTTTCAAATTGGATGATGTCATTTTTACATGCCAAAAAGAAACTAATGCAACTAAACTAAAAAAGACAATCATTAAATTTTACAGAAAATAAAGGAAAATATCAAGACAGAAAGTCCAGGAATTGAAAAAATTCTACAGTTATCATCTAAAGATGTATATGTTTGGATTCATTTTAAATTCATAAGCAAATGATATGCTGCCATTCAATCTTTCAAACTTAAAAAAAAAATACTTTCTTTACTTTTGAATGAAGATCTAGAGGAGTCTTCCCCATGCAGATCTATTTATGAATGGGTTTTTCCCCTTGACCTTAGTTCAAAACTTATATTATTCCAACCAGTCTTTATCTATGCAGTGATAATAAGATTTTTTACAGAATTCTTAGGTATTACATAGTAATAGTCTTTAAACATCCTTGTTGTGCATTTGATTTACATTTCCAATTCTTTCCAAAGAATATGCCATGTCACCCAATATAACAGATATAAAGTCTCTAGGTTATAACAAAATGTTAAAGTTTCAACATTACAAAGCTCATATTAGTAATCTTACCAACTGACTTTTACCCAGAAGAAAAATGATCTTAAAATCTATAGAAAATCTCCGATTCATTCTTAACTTATGATGTGAAGTTTGTAGGTTACAAATTATTTTCAAAAGTAGTTATCTCAATAATCGCATGCTTTGACCTTGACAAATGTGTCCTTTAAAACTATGTGTATTACTATAAGCTGTTATGTGTAGTAAGCATGAAGTATATGAGATGATAAAAATATTCAAGATATTGCATCACAGATTACTGGGTAACTGCATCTTGATGTGGGATACTAAGGGACCTTTATCATATTTCAAGTTTTAAATTTAAAAATAGGGTACAATACACATACATATATACACAAATACAATATATTTACAATTCCAGGAAAGTAATAATTACATTAAATCTAGCATCTGAATATCTGTGTAATTTCTAGGGGGTTATAGAAATAAGATGCAAAATAAAAGGTTTAAATGTATACTTCTCATACATAACAACTGTCTTCAATATGAATTGGCAAAAAATAAAAGTCACATTTAAATACTCTGAAGTCCGTGAGAATTAATTTTTAAAGAGCCCATGCTATCAGAAAATCATATTTTCTATACTTATTACAAAATGTTGAAGTTATTGCAAGACTCATATCAGTTATCTCAGTAACTGGTTTTTATTCAGGAGAAACATGATCCAAGATTTCTTAAGAAATCTCTTATTCATCCTATTCATTCTTCATTTATGTACTTATGATGTGAAGTTTGTAAGTTACAAATTATTGTCAAAGTAGTCTTCTCAATAATCTCATGCTTTGACCTTGATAAAGTGTCCCAAACAACAAAGTGTATTCCTCCAATCAGTCTTTATGTAGTAAGTATGAAGTATATGGGATGACAACAAATATTCAAGATATTATTGCATCACAGATTATGGGACACTTACATCTTTATGGGGGTCCTATTGAGACAAATTTTAAATTCAAAATTAAACATGATACATACACAAACAAAATATATTTACAATTCCAGGAAAGTTAAATAATACCATTAAATCCAGCATCTGGATATCTGTGTAATTTCTAGGGGGTTGTAAAAATTAGATGAAAAATAAAAGGTTTAAATGTGTAATTCCCATACATAACAACAGTCTTCAATATGAATTGGTAAAAATAAAAGTCACATTCAGATACTTTGAGGTCCGTGAGAAATAGTTTTTAAAGAGCTCATGCTATCAGAAAATCATATTTTCAATACTTGATTTGACTAGATCTCAGTTTGATAAATGATTACACTTTATCCATAGTCAGTGTCTGACAGTGAAACATACAATCCTGGGTCCTTTCTTTGTCATCCTGTATAAACCACAGTCTATGATCGTACTGGTTAAATTCGATGGAAATCATATTTATGTTCTTCTTAAATCCTCCATCCTCTTAAGTTTGGTTTTCTTGTTTCAGTGTTCCAAGAGAGGATATTCTGTTAGTCTTTGCATAATCTGAGAGTCTTTCACCATTCTAAGAGTAGACATAGATCATTTCCATAACCTCTCACTAGAGAATCCTGAAAAAATAAAAAAAATAATGTCTTAGTTGAAAAAAAAAAATTGTAATGTAATATAAGCTTGATGGAATTCTACATATAGACAAAAAGGGTATAAAAACAAGTTGTAACATAAGATTTTGACTTTTCATATTAACCATGGGTAACACCTCTAGTAAAGAAAAGAGTAAAGGAATGAGTAAAATTCAGTTCGGAGAGAGAATTCTTTCAGAGAAAGATGTAGACAGAGGTATACCAGTTAAAATAAAAAAAGATGGCACTATTGAGATCATTTCTCAAGAAGAATATAACCAATTATGTCCAGAAAAGGGTGATCCTAATGTTGTCAGAGATTACATAGAAAGACCCTTGATTGCAGAAGAAGCCAATGAAGAATATAACCATTTATTACCAAAAGAGGGTGAGAATTACTTGGATTACCCTGAAAGACCTTTGACTAGAGAAGAAGTCAAGTTTATAGATGATAAGAGAAAACAGTTGTCAGAAAAAAAAAGATTGTTAAAGACACATGATTTTTAGCCCACAAAACCATTGGAGATACAAGGATTACAAGATACAAGGATTAATGGAGGAAGTCCAAACTGAACTCTTGGAAGACATTAAGGCTCATTATGAGAGTAACTTTCCAGTGTTTGTTTATTACAAAATTATGTATTCTGATAAAAAAAAAAAAAAAAAAGTTTTCACTTTCATTTGTTGTGCCTTTGACCATTTAAATTGACCTTATGGTCAAGATTGTGATATATACACTCTGATAATCATCTATGATGTCTCTATGATGTTTACCTCAAAAGATTGAATCAGGGTATTTGTGTTCAAAGAGCTGAAGAAACTATACAGACAGATCTAAGATGTTGGAAGCATACATATTAATGAGGTTAAAGGAGATATAACACTAGATTATTAAAAAGAAAGAACACAAACTCATAGAAATGATATTGAAAGTACCTTTTATGAATAAAGTGTCATGCTCCAAGGTATTATTTTTATAAACAGGAGAAGGTTTACAGCAGTCCCATACACTCATAAGAAGATCTTGGGTAGTAGAAACACCAGGAAATTTTATTTCCACACAATCAGATCATCTTACATCAGTTATAAGGTTACAATCTTTATACATAGTCAAGAGGGTCATTAAGATTTCTTTTCTGGTCATCCTAATGAGCCACATTATAGTATTCTTTCTCTTTGATAGAATGTTAATATTAAATGGAAAATTCAGAATTCATCAGCAATTGAAGTCAAAACTTCCTATCTTTACCAATTATGCTATTAAGGAAGCTGGGGGTTAACAAATTAGCCATATTTAACTTATTCTATAAATATGCTATCTTCAGCTGTTAACTATCATTTGGCAAAGAAAAATTTCATACATTTTAGTTTTAAAAATTTGATCATGAATTTTTATGCCTTTTCTTCTTCTTCTAAAGGATATCAATAGAGTTTAAACATGACCATGACCACCAAGCCCTCTTTATTTAAAAAAAAAATCATATATCATTTACTTATCAATTCAAAAATATAAAAATGCATATGTAAATAAATAAATAAATAAATAAATAAATAAATAAAAATTACAATTGTATCTCATTGAAACTTTACCTTCAAGTTTGTGTGTTTCTATGTTGGTTGACTAACTGTGTATTTCCAAAGGAAGAGCAGACAGTCTGAACTTCATAGAGAATTGATTAGAGATGGTTAGGAACAAAACATATCTTCCATGTTGATGACTGTAGAAATAAAACCATTTTGTTAATATGACAGAGTACTGCATGAAACAATGCATGTTTAAATACAACATGTACAATGCCAAAAAAGATCATGAAAATATTTGTTTTTAATCTCAAAAAATTGTTTTTAACATTAACTCCAGATGAGAAAAGTTCATCATGTTATCTATAGATAATAAACAAGCACAACTACTGTATTAATATCATAAATAAAATGATTATCAGATTAATTATTTAGACACTAAAAAACTTACTATCTTTATGATATTGATTTCCATTATCAGATGTTTTTTATCCATTTTTTTATCCATTTTAAAATATAAACATTTAAATAAAACAGAATTAAATAAATTAAAATGATATCTCATTGAAACTTTACCTTCAAGTTTGATTGTTTCTATGTTGGTTGACTAACTATGTATTTCCAAAGGAATTTGGGCAGACAGGCTGAACTTCATAGAGAATGGATTATAGATGGTTAGGAATAAAACATATCTTCCAGGTTGAGGACGAAAAATATAATCATTTTGTTAATATGACAGAGTACTGCATGAAACATTGCATGTTTAAATACAACATGTACAATACCAAAAAAGATCATGAAAATATTTGTTTTTAATCTCAAAAAATTGTTTTTAACATTAACTCCAGATGAGAAAAGTTCATCATGTTTATAGATAATAAACAAGCACAACTACTGTATTAATATCATAAATAAAATGATTATCAGATTAATTATTTAGACACTAAAAAAACTTACTATCTTTATGATATTGATTTCCATTATCAGATGTTTTTTATCCATTTTTTTTATCCATTTTAAAATATAAACATTTAAATAAAACAGAATTAAATAAATTAAAATGATATCTCATTGAAACTTTACCTTCAAGTTTGATTGTTTCTATGTTGGTTGACTAACTATGTATTTCCAAAGGAATTTGGGCAGACAGGCTGAACTTCATAGAGAATGGATTATAGATGGTTAGGAACAAAACATATCTTCCAGGTTGAGGACTGTATAGAAAATATAATCATTTTGTTAATATGACAAGGAACTGCATGAAACATTGCATGTTTAAATACAGTGCCAAAAAGTTCATGAAAATAGTTCATCATGTTATCTTTAGATAACAAAAGAAGCACAGTTACTGTATTAATATCACAAATACAAAATGATTATCAGTGTAATTTTTAGACACTAACAGACTTTCTCTTAACAGCATATTCAATTTTGTTTAATACCTGTCAGTACAGCATACAAAAAGATATTAGCATATACAACATGTAGTCCTACATTTTTTGAAAAGCTCATTACCAAGAAACAAAAGTGAAAATGAAAATATATGTATGCCATATATACCACATATTTAGAATCAAAACAAGGATAAACCTTTTGTAGATTCTTACTTTTTCTTTTATTACATTCCTTATAGATCACAATTTAGTAAGTCTGAATTCCATGGGTAACAGACATAATGAATTATGACATTATATCATAATTTATGCAAAAGGACTTATTAACAATATGAAGTTTCCTTAGTATATTTTAGACAAAATAAGACTGTGCTTATATGAATGTTAGAGATATTAGATCACATAAGAATTACACAGTAATTAAATTAAACCATATAATCATGGTTAAATGCAAAGATGACCTTCATAGGAAATGTAAACAAAACAAAGACAAACTTACCAGAATTATCCAATTATATGCCCAATTAAATAATCCAGTGAAACAACATCTTAGCTGATCCTGAAAAAAAAAGCATACAATATTCAGTGATACACAAATTAACCTCATTTTACAAAGGAAGTAAAGCAACAATTGACAGACAAACAGGACAGAAATGTAAAAGATACCATATATATTTTACCAAAATTTAGTAAACATTTTTTCTGATTTAAATTCAATCACAGAATGACCCATCATAGTAATATTAAATACACTCTGGGTTACATGCAAATTATACCTTACATGAACTGAGAATAAATACCCCATTTACATTCATATAAACTGAATTTTACATAACTAATTACTCTTTTAACTGATGTCACCATTAGTATGTCAGAATATTCAGGGTGTACAAATCATGCATATTCACTTTTAAAGTACTCAATATATATTTTACATGTTGATGTTTGAAATCACTGACTAAATAAAATACATACATGTATATACATGAAGGTTTAAAAAAAAAAAATAATAATAACTAGATGGGGGGCACATGTTTATAGATTTACAGAGATGCTCAGACTGAGTTTTTCCCACTTTCATTGGGCCACTGTTGCACCAGAATGTAAAAATATGAGTGACAAATAAGGCAAAAGATTCTGTATATTTCATTAAAAAAGATTTGAGACAAAAGATTCATTGGCATAATATGATCTGATTGATTATCTCCATATCCTTCTTTTGGTCACTGTGATTAAATATTCATAGAAATATTAGAAATGACAACTGAGAATATCACTTTAGTTGTTTTAAAAGCATGTATCAGTATTTTATAAGATATGCTAGGAGTCTCCTCATAAGAATATTTAGAATACTGATCCAATAAAAGGAATGTGAGACAATATGATAATAACTCATGCAAAAAAGATTTATCAACATTTTGAGGATCTTTTAGTGTCCTAGTGTATTTCAGGGTAAACAATGGCAGTGTTTATATGAATGTTCTAAACATAAGGTATATAACACAGTAATAATGAATAAATACAAAGATGACCTTCATAGAAAATGTATAAAGAAAAGTTTGTTAAAACTTACCATGTAACCAGGTAACTCAGTAGAGTAATATTCATTAAATAATCCAGTGAAATAACATCTAGGCTGATCCAGGATTCAGCTGTTCAGAACTTTCTTGGAAGAAAAACGGTAGAAAATCAGTTTTGGTACTGAAATCCATAGGACCGTACTGTTATTACATGAAGTCTCAAGCGCTGTGAAAGTCTGTGTTATTGTGTCAAAATAAGCAGCCATCGCGGCTTGTGAAGGACTAACATGACGTCGCTGCCAAGTTTATGACGTCACAATGCATAGGTAAGTCTATGGTATGTTTTGCACACGGCCCCCTTACAGATGATGCAACAGGTATAAAAACGCAGATAAAACGTATTGATGCACAGGGCCCTTACAGTAAAGGTATATAAACCATGTGTGTTTTTTGTAATTGTTTTCAGTAAAAAATCTAGGTTTTTATTGTTTTGAGGAAATCAGTTTGAACCGATTAGGCTAGGCTGGGTAGACTGTGAAGCGTGACGTTATAATTAAATTCTTGAGTCGCTGACAAAATCGTAGTAGCAGCGTATATAGTATAATGTAAACACAGTGTAAACACACCCCCGTATTTAGGGGGCTATATGTACTGAATTGATCCCGGTTATCCCTAGAACCCCCTAATCTGCACTCTCTTCACCCACCTATCCCCCACAGGGGCTGCACTCCCTTGACCCGGCTATCCTCCCCCAGGGGCTGCACTCTATTGACCCACCTATCCCCCACAGGGGCTGCACTCAGTTGAACCGCCTATCCCCCCACAGCCCCAAAAGTGCACTCAGTTGACCCGCCTATCCCCCCTCAGTGGGATGTCCTAGATATTGACCCGCCTATCTAGGCCGTTTATACTACTAATATGGGAATTATCACAAGCGACAGTTACGTTAATTAATCAGACTTGAAGAATAAACAATGTAAATAAGAGACATCTTAATAGATTTGAAGAAAAAAAACAGCAATTTTGGGCGGGTGATTGGTCATTGAATGATCAGCAGAGGACAAGAAGACCTAAAGATAGGAGATCGGACGGAAACGTTCAATGGTGACTGACGTTGTCAAGAAAGACATAAAGAGTGACATGCGAATCTTTAAGTTTGTCTTATGCTACTGTTCAAAAAATTTGACAGAGGGCTTAATTATGAAAGGAGTAAGTGTAAAATGGTACCAAGAATTCTTAAAGAAACTGGAATTGGTGAAAGTGTTTGCTAATAAGTTTTAATGAAACGAAGGGGAAGCGCTAATTAAAAGTATGACTGTGCGTATCCGTCATATGACGTTATATTTAGGTGCGGCGACTACCATAAACGCACATTGTTTAAAGTTCGATATTTTGGAAAGTATACATCATACTCCTTTGAATTGTTCAGGTCTAATTTGAAATAAATAAAGTTTCCATCATGTGTAATTTTGTTAGTTTACGTCGATTTATAGCAATTTTATCAAAGTTGTGACATTACTTTTGGATCAACCCTCGTATATCTCTGAATTCTACTTGAAAAATTGTGAAATCAACGTATACGACTATAATTTAATGATACATTTAATTGTATTTCATTTACTATTGTTTAATTAAAGTTTGAGTGTTTGACTAAAAATTGGAAATTTTTAACGCTAATGGAAACACCACATCATTGTAGAAACATTTATTCTTTTATATAGGCTAATTATCTGCAGTTATATTACATGTTCTGGCGTGATCAGATTTGTCTGCTCCCTGTAGAATGACGTCAGGACGTGACCATGATTGCTTTCTCCTTCTTAACCGTATTTTTCCAATGCCTGATGAACTCTTATAAACCATAATGATTATAAACGATTAATTTTTTTTTTAAAATATGCTTTGACAGAAGTAACTTGATAGTAGCCTGTGTTGTGTCAGCGGAGAAGAGATTATTATGAATACTCTTGAACATCAATCACAATCTGTAATTGTAAGGCTAAGTTGTTGTCATTGGAAATTGCGTCTTTCATAATACAGCGTAGTTTCAGACAAAATGTCAAAAATGAGAAATCTCCTTGTCATTTCTGTCCTTTTACAAGAATTTTCTTTTTTCAGATAGAGTATAATTCGTGCATTCATCTCGTGCAACGTGTTGCGCAAAAGGTTGGATACAACCCCAATAAAGTCATATTTGTTCCTGTGTCCGCCATGAAAGGTGACAACATAACAACACCGACAACAAACATGTCCTGGTACGATAACTGGGAGACGGTCAGCAGACCAGGAAACCACGTGACTGGTGTGACGTTATTGGACGCTTTACACAAGACACAGCAACCAACGCGTATGAATAGCAAGGCACTGCGAGTACCGATACATACTGTATACAGATTAGGGAGTATGTTGCATATTCTTCCAAGATTAATGAATTTTTTCTTGTAGCCGATTTTCTTATATTTTTCTGTAATTTATTTTATGCATGATGATAAAACATTTGAGAAGTGAGCATGACAATTTAAGTAAATATCTTCATAGTTCACTTAATCATCCTTTCTTTGAATGTTCAAGATATAGGTATCGTGGCCGCCGGTAGGGTTCATGCTGGATCTGTTAGACCACAAATGGAGCTCAGTTTTGCGCCCTCCCAAAGAAAGTGTTCGGTTTGTAATCTTGAATTAAAAAACTTCCTAAAATCAATCTATATTACCTTATGTGGTATCATAAGAAATTTTAGGCAAAGTTGTTTCATTCATTTAGGCCCGTGCAATACAAATTTTTGGCGAAGTAACAAACGAGGGACGAGCGGGAGACAATGTGGGAATTCAGTTTGAGGGACTGTCTACAAACAAGGTTAAGAGGGGGTATGTGTGCGGGAACCTGTATGATGATCCTCCCCGAGAGGCAAAACAAATCACTGCACAGGCAAGTAGTGTCTAGCCAAACAAATCACTGCACAGGCAAGTAGGGTCTAGTCAAACAAATTACTGCACAGGCAAGTAGTGTCTAGTCAAACAAATTACTGCACAGTCAAGTAGTGTCTAGTTGAACAAATCACTGCACAGGCAAGTAGTGTCTAGAGAAACAAATCAATGCACAAGCAAGTAGTGTCTAGAGAAACAAATGACTGCACAGACAAGTAGTGTCTAATCAAACATATAAGTGCACAGGCAAGTAGTTTGTAGTCAAACAAATCACTGCACAGGCAAGTAGTGTGTAGTCAAACAAATGACTGCACAGGCAAGTAGTGTCTAGAGAAACAAATGACTGCACAGGCAAGTCGTGTCTAATCAAACATAAAACTGCACAGGCAAGTAGTGTATAGACAAACAAATCACTGCACAGGCAAATATTGTCTAGTCCAACATATAACTGCACAGGCAAGTAGTGTCTAGTTAAACAAATCACTGCACAGGCAAGTAGTGTCTAGTTAAACAAATCCCTGCACAGGCAAGTAGTGTCTAGTTAAACAAATCACTGCACAGGCAAGTAGTGTCTAGTTAAACAAATCACTGCACAGGCAAGTAGTGTCTAGTCAAAATACTGCATAGGCAAGTAGAGTCTAGTTAAACAAATTACTGCATAGGCAAGTATCGTCCAATCATGTAGCAAAACAAATCACTGTACAGCCAAGTAGTGACCAGTCTAACAAATCTCTGTTCAGGCAAGTAGCATCAAGTCCTTAACGTAGTGTACAAACATGCTACACAAGTATAATCACACAGGAAGAAACAATGCCATTCAATGAACTTAAACGTTTTCTGAAAAGTGACTGAAAGGGCAAAACTCTGCCCTTAATCTGTCGGTAAAGATTCAGTGATCATTCGTTTAACTGAAAGGCCTAGTTTCAAATATATAAAGCCCATCATCACTATGTCTAAGCATATATTCTAAGGTTATAAGATGTGTGATCTACACCTAACAGCTATAGGCTAAGTATCAAATAATCATTTTAGTATGCTGCAATACTATTTGGAGAATACAACACGGTATATTAATATCGTGCACACAGATTGTGTAATTTTATAAAATAGTAGAGGAATTTGTTTTTGATATTCATAGATACGCATATTGCATCACCCAGGGAACATCAAGAAAGGTTATTCGCCTTTGCTCCATTGTCACACCGCCATGACAGCCTGTACCATCACGAACATCATAGAACGAACGGATGATCGAACAGGCATGACAGCTGAAGACTTCCCGACATCCCTGTCGACCGGAAACGTTGGTCTGGTGGAAATGATCCTACTCAAACCAATCTGTGTAGAGACGTTCTTTGATTATCCATCATTGGGGAGGATTATATTACGCGATTTGAAGCAGACGATAGCGGTCGGGGTCATCGTCAAGGTCACTAAAAGCAATATAAAAGACATGAAAAATTTATTGAAAAAGCAAACTGAAGAAAAAGCGGCAGATGAAACGGAACAGGAGGAACGGAAAAATAAATCAGAGGGTTATGAGTCCTTATCGAGTGACATTAAAAACGAGGATACAGTTGATGGTGTACACAACAATGTGAAAAGTGAGAGTGGTCATGAGAGCTTACCAAATCCAGACAAAATAGAATCAGTAATTGAAAGTCAGGAGCAGGTTAAAACTGGTACCGAAGAAAGTATATCAAGTGAAGTACCCACATTGAAGCTAAGTATTGATGTACCAGGGACAATGAACGACAGTGGGTGTATGGAAGAAGATGTGTAGTACCTCATCGTCAGGGAATCAGTAGGACTTGAAGATCGTCGAAAAATATAGCAATACTGGTTACAAGAAGAACTGCTTCACTTATATCATAGTTAAAGTTTACAAAACAGATTAGTTTGATTTCCCTTGTTTATTTATGATCTGTTTTACTCGTTTTGTTCTTATATTTTACTTTGTCTCTAATCTTTCTCTGAGAGCAAGAGACACATGTTTAATTGAAAAATACATATCATCCTAGAGGGGAATTGTTAAACCCTATTTAATTTGCCAGTTTTTGTGTAAAATTAGGATGTTTTACTGAGTAAATACGGTAAGGGACAACTCACAAATTATCAATAGAAAAACAAGATGACTTCTTCTTTGTCAAGTTTCCTTATTTATGTAGAAATATTCGGCAACACCTGCATAAGGTGTTTATGTCTTGCAACGTATTCGATACTCTTGAGCAGGTTTGGTTCAGAGTACGATCGCTTTTTTAAACTAAGGCAGGCTACTTATAGATAAGGCGATGTTACAGGTAGTTCAACAATTTCGTTTAAAGTCAGCATTCCATAAATCTCTATGGTCGTTTCAATGACCTAATATAAATTATCACTGAGTTCTCTGACACATTTCATACTTATTGAAAGATCATAGTTTTACTTCATTGATCACTGAATATTTCGTCGACCTGGTCAATACATATACCCCACGACGGGTGTAACTATTCAGTGGATGCTTACATATTTTTAATCACATATTCATCAATTAAGTACGAATAAAAATATCGAGAATAAAATGGGTTAGTACCTAAAGTTGGCATTGGAATACATAAGTACATAGATTTTTCATTATCAATATAATTACTTATTGTAGTGAATAAGTGTACAATAATAATATAGATTTTAGTCAAGCACGCTTTTAAACATTTTAATCATATCAAACACGGTACCTGACGACTTTGATTAGTTCTGTAGATAAAACATTTTTTTCTAGTACACAAGATACCTTATTTAACGGTGAAATATTACTAATATAGGGTTGCCTTTCTTTGATTGTACTGTGTCTGATTTCTCTTTCAGGAAAAAGTAATGCTGTTAGAGATTTCTGAGAAACAAGGAATGATACAACAATTTCATCGGTACAAAAAAAGGACAAATGTTTTGTACTCGTTCTGAGACAGAAAAACAATTATCTAAGGCCAGTCCCCAGGAGACGTGAAATGCGTGCTTAAATCACGTTATGTCATAGTATAAGGTGCTTAAAACAAACGATTAACAAAGAAGTCATTACCCACTGTTCCTGTGGCTGGCGTGACGAAATCCTATATTCTTTATGACAATGTTTTCGAGTCTAGGTGCGCAGATTTTTAATACGTTGCTTTATTTTATTTTATTGGGCAAGACATCATAATGTATACTATTTAAAGGATTTTCTTTTTTTTTTTTTTTTGAGAACATCTGAACATCATGTTATCATGCGTGATATTATGCAACAACGTATTACTGCAAAATTCATTTGACCACTGGTGGTTCTGAGCTCTTTATACAAATAAAGTCCGAAGTTTTTGCAGTCTATTTCCGTCATATTCTGACATAGGCTCACTGTTTGAACAAGGCTGATTTTACATACAAGAGATAAGAAAATTAGTACTGTATTCGATAGTGGGGTATACCTATTTCTAGTACATGTAATCAAGAGAGGATTTTAATATCATTCAAATACACAACTAAAAGGATGATCAAGATTATGATACGTGTAAATCCATAATCCAATATTTAAGCATAACCTACCTACGCAAGTAATAGCTTTCAAAGAAGCTTGTCTGGCTTCAGTGACCAATTTCTAGAATAAAAAATGCACGATATTGTTCGAGGAATTGATCTTTGCACGTCAACTTCCTTTCTCAAAAGAGCTGAATTTATCAAGTTCAGTGCACTCTATGACTATCTGTTTATTTTTTTTTTTTTTTTAGATATTCTAAATTTTGAGTTTAATTTGATATTTTCCTAAGGGTGTTTTCCATTTTTCTTCCTTTGATGTTGTAAATGTCAGAGGAGATAATTACAAAAAGGTATTAAAGTGTTTTCAAAAGTGAAGGCATTATAACCCATTCAAAATAGAAAATGAAGATTATATTAAAGAGAAAAGAGAGAATGCCTACTTAAATGACTGGAAACAACATGGATATCAAAGGATACCACAGAATTCAATAAATCTTCCTCCTTTTCAATATTTACTAGAAAAAGACGTCAATGTGTTCACAATGCTTGTGTAACTATATACTCTTATCACCTGCATACAGGTTTTTGACCAATTGATTCGACATTAAAGAGCTTACTAAACAATCGAATCATTTCTTAGATAAGACAAGCTATTGACAAACATGCTTTTGAAACAAGAGTATGAACCGTCTCGCTCAAGAACTTTGCTGATATTAAAATGATTGTTTACAATTACTATGCAATTTTTGGAGACAAAGTCTCCCAACAATCTATTAAAATTCCCATGTGTACCAAATTGAGCCCGATTATTGGCAGACGTATATTTGTTTTCATATGAAGCAGAATATGTTCTAAGTCACATGTGAAAAGAAGAAAACGCTTGTTATGGCCTTCAACTCGACATCAAGATACATGTATATCGACGACCTATTGTCAATTAGCAATGGATATGTCGATACGAAATACAGCTGTATAGCGGTGAGATCGAGTTAAGAGATACAATAGCGTCTGACCCATCTGTTTCAAATTTGGATATTTCACTTTAAAAAGATGTAAATGGTAATCTGACAACCAGGATTTATGATAAACTTGATAACTTTAACTTCTTACTCATTCATTTTCCTTACTTATGCAGCAATATACATTCATCAACTGCATACGGGGTTTATATCTCTCAGTTGATCCTATACGCAGGAGCATGCTCTATATACGTATGAATAATTTTTAAAACTAGGTAAAATATTGACAAACAAGTTGATGAAACAAGAATATCAGCAGTCTTGTTTAAAGTCCTAATTTCTATGGTCGAATTCCTAAGTTCTATGGTCGATACATTGCCCTTGTCAGCAAATGCAATTTATCATTTAGTTAAATACTGACTGACTTTTTTATACTAATGCTTAGTCCACTATTTACAAACAGAATTGTCGACGGATTTTTTTCGTTATTTGCCGATCATGACAAGAAGCACACGGCGGATGAGACCGGTCGGGAGGGGATGCTCACTCCTCCATGGCACCTGATCCCACCTCTGATGTTTTTGAGGTCCGTGTTTGCTCTGCTCCTCTTTAGTATTGGTTAATGGACTTTGATCTTGAATATTGTTCGTCATCTCTAAATGTTTCATTACATACATTACAATAAAATATATGGAGATAACGAACAGTATTAAAGCTCAAAAGTTTAAGACCGAAGAACGACGTGCCACATGTGACCCAACAAAAACTGTGAAGGAGAAACTTCAGAATTATCTTGGTAAAGCATATTTAAGAAGTGGATTGAATCAAATCTTTAAAATACAGAAAAATAACTTTTTGAAAATAAAAAATCTCAAAATTTCTAAAACATCAATACCATCGAAAAACTTTCGACTTTTTAAAGCCTCTTCGACAATTTTTCTAGAAATCAAAGAGTGGGTTTTTGACATCATAGACAACCTTTTTTTCAATAAAAAAAAATGCGTATGATTTGCCATCTGCAGAATATTTTTTGTTAAAATTAGGTACTTCGAAGATTAATGATACAAAGACGAAGTACCTTATTAACAAAGATGAACAACCTCATTAAAACTCTCTTTTATGAAGCAGAGTTCAGTCAAAGGTTTCTTCCTGGGAAGTAGTATATTTTTTTCAGAATTTATGAGATTAATATCTTAATATCAGTCTCTATATCTGACATATGTAGTTTTAATTAAATGTTTTTTTAAAATCGGACAAAAACCAGGAGTAGTGTTGTGAGGTGTGTTGTATTTGTATTGTTTCATCATGTCTATTATTAGTAACATTAAGTTTCTTGAACATTCCAGAGTGGTCAACATGTTCGGTCATTGTTTCTAGAACATTCCTGAACTTTGTGTATGTCCAGAACTTTCCAGTAATATCATGTACTTACAACTTCTAGAATATTCTAGATTTCTAATACTGTATAAATACCCTGTCAATTCGATGCATAGATATACTTTGGTCGTACAAGCATCATTGAGGTATTACTGGGACTTATTTTCACTGGGACATTGTGTGCAGTAACGGACACTCTGATGTATGTATTTTTAGATTCTTGCTAAGTTTGTACTTTATGTTTCATATACTTATAATATATTACTGTAAATAAATTATTGTTAAGTTTAAATTGTGTTATTGATCTTTGCTGGCATTTAGGGTTATTCTGACCCATAACAGAATTTGGGGCTCGTCCGGGATAAAGAATTTCTTGCACTTTTGCAGTTTATTGTCAAAATTTTGTTAATTGAACCGTTAAATTTGATTATCAGCCAGCAGAAATCAACATGGTATTTTCGGTCACAGACTTTCTTAATTCGCCAAGTGTTCAGGTTTTTGATACATTAAAAAAGGATGACTTGATCGCGTTAGGTTTGCATCTTGGGTTAGAGGTTAAATCTTCACAGAGAAAGCAAGACATTAGAATAAAGGTTGCAAACAAACTAGTTGAAGAAAACATCTTTGGAAAATATGATCTTCCAGATTATACACTTAAATCAGAATCTTATAATATGTCAGAATTTCAGTATCAAGTAGAGTTGGAAAAAATGAGATTTGAAGAACGAGAGCGTGAACGGAAATTTGAATTAGACAAATTAGAAAGAGAAAGAGAAGAGCGAGAAAGAGAGAGAGAAGAGCGAGAAAGAGAAAGACAAGAGCGAGAAAGAGAGCGTGAAATGAACTTTGAATTAGAGAAATTAAAATTACAGAACCAACCAGGACCGTCAGTTGTCAAAACTGAATTTGACGCAGCAAAAAATATCAGATTAGTTCCAAAATTTCAAGAAAAATCTGTAGA